CTTTGCCCTTACCCACTCCTCTTGTCTCCTAACCCTACAGGCAGAACCTGGCAGGGGCATGGGGAGATGACTCCCCCACTTCAAGTACCTCGTACTCGAATCCGGAAGAAACCCAAGGCTCTTCCCTACAGGAGGGAGAACAGTCCTGGGGGTGAGGGGGCATGCGCCTGGGAGATGGTGACAGTAGTTGTGGGGGGATGGGCAGGAAACCAAGAGTGCACTCTGGGGGCTGGAGGAGGGAGCAGGTAAACCCCAATTGTGGGCTGTTCATTGGTAGCCTCCTGGTGCCAGGGAATGCAGGTGACAGAAAGATTAGTGGCAGGAGCAGCAGGAGGCTCTGCTGAAAACAGCTCCCTCCCCAGACTTGCCCCCACCACCCTTGCCACCGCCAGAGGAAGAGGCAAGCTGGGCCCTAGGGCTGAGGGCAGCAGGCAGCATGTCCTCCCTGGAGCGGGAGCGCAGTGGGGAGAGGAGAGTGGTGCCAGCAGTGCCCCTGGCGGCCCAGCGGGGGCCCCACCCAGATGGTAAGCAGGGCCAGGGCAGGCAGGAGGGCTGCTGCCACAGGAGACGGTAAGCTTTGGGACCCAGGGCTGATAGGTCAGACAGCTCAGCCCTCCCTTTAGTTACATTCATGCATTTGATCCACATCAAACTCCCCTGTCTCTCTAGTTCTCTCTGAGCACAATCCCCTGAAGTCCCAAGTTGTGTTCATTCCCAGAAAGGAAGCCCAGATGAGAGGAGTGGGGCCTAGGCACACTGTCCCTGCTCCCCACAAGTCTCCCTCTGCTTGGAAGCACCCTCACAGTTTTCTGAGCACCTGTTATGTCAAGGCCATGTGCTGGACACTCTGCTGCTCCTCAGCCCCAGGCTGGCTAAGCCCAGTGCCTGCCCTTCATCTTCTTCCAGCTCTGGGTTTGTGGTCAGGGCAGTAGGGGGGATGACAGGGAAGTTCTAATCCCTGCCTGCACTTGGCTGCCTTCCCTCTTGTGCTGCAGAAGAGGCCTGGCTCCTATATAGCAGACCAAGCTTCCTGTCCCGAGGCCAGGGCACCAGCACTTGTTCCACTGCCGGCAGCAACTCTTCCAGGGGCTCCAGCAGCTCTAGGGGCTCCCGGGGCCCTGGCCGGAGCCGGAGTCGGAGCCGGAGCCAGAACCAAAGGCCCGGACAGAAACACCGAGAGGTAGGGGCTACAGACTGCAGAAAAATGAGATTAGTGGCCAGGCGAAGTGGCTCATGCCTATAATCCCAGCACTTTGGAAGGTGGAGGCGGGTGGATCATGAGGTCAGAAGATTGAGACCATCTTGGCTAACATGGTGAAACCTCGTCTCTACTAAAACACAAAAAATTAGCCAGGCTTGGTGCGTGCCTGTAGTTCCAGCTACTTGGGAGGCTGAGGCAAGGGACTCCCTTGAACCTGGGAGACGGAGGTTGCAGTGACCTGAGATCTTGCCACTGCACTCCAGCCTGATGACAGAGTGAGACACCGTCTCAAAAAAAAAAAAAAAAAAAAAAAAAAGAAATTAGGGCAGAGGATTAGGGAAGGGTGGACCAAGGCGTGATGGAAAATAGGAAGGTAGGAAAGACTTGTGGAGGAGTGTCAAAAAAGAGGGGATCGAGAGAGTGAGGGGGAGGGAGGAATCCTGTAGAAGTGACAAGGGGGCTGGGTGTTGTGGCTCATACCTGTAATCCCAGCACTTTGGGAGACCAAGGCAGGCAGATCCCTTGAGCTCAGGGGTTTGAGACTAGACTGGGCAACATGGTGAAATCCCATCTCTACAAAAAATACAAAATTAGCTGGGCATGGTGGCATGCTCCTGTAGTCTCAGCTACTCAGGAGGCTTGGGAGGTCAAGGTTACAGTGAGCCATGATCACACCACTACTTTCCAGCCTGGGCTACAGAATGAGACCCAGTCTCAAACAAACAAACAAAAAACAAAGGAAATGACGAGGGGTGAAGACAAGATGACACTTAATAGAGGAGCCTGGGCTCTCCTCCATAGGAGAACGGGGTTAGGAGAATGTGAGCCCCTCCTGGACTTGTTTGCCCTGGGCCAGGAAACAGCATCTCTCTCTCTCTGTCCCTAGGAGCCAAGATGACCCTTGTTGGGGCATTGAGAATATCAGGAATGCCACAGGGAAGGGGAGTAGGCATGTCTTTTCCCTCCCAGCAATGACGAGTGGGGTTTCTGAAGCCCATTGGTTTCCATGATTTGAATTGGCTGAGAAGGCAGAGAGCTAGCTTTTCCCTTTCTTTCTCTTTTTACCTGAGACTTGTTTATAAAAAAGAAAACAATAAAAAACAGTCTGATCAGAGCCCGGGGCCCTGTTTGTCTGGTTCTGTGCAGGAGGTTGGGAAGAAGGGGACTGCAGGGGCCTGTATATCAACACACACTGGTAGCTTCTGCTTCCCTTTCCACTCTGTCAAAAGCACTAAGTTAGGCCAGGCACAATGGCTCACACCTGTAATCCCAGCACTTTAGGAGGCTGAAGCAGGAGGATCACTTGAGCCCAGGAGTTTGAGACCAGCCTGGGCAACCTAGCAAGACTTTGTATCCACACACACACAATAAATAAATAAATAAGCCAGGTACAGTTGTGTGCACCTGTGATCCTAGCTACTTGGGAAGCTGATGCAGTGGGACTGTCTGAACCCAGGTGCGGGAGGTTACAGTGAGCTATTGTGCCACCATACTCCATCCTGGGTGACAGAGTGAGACGCTATGGCAAACAAACAAACACTAGGTGGCGACTGACCTGTCCTGCTTCCTAAAGGAGTAAGAAGCCCACTGTCCCGGAGTTACAACCATAGAGACTTTCCAGTTGCCCAGTAATAAAATACATGTTCCCCTTTTGGAAGATCGACCAGGCCCTTCTTTGGTGCTCTCCTCTGGGGTTTGTCTACTTTCCCACAAGGAAATACACCTCTCACAAACAATTATCTTGAAAAACTCAAAGAAAGAGGAGCTTATGGGAGAAACCCCAGGCAAGAAGGAAGAGCATGCTTCTTCAAACCCTCTGACTCCATCACAGAGGGTAAGTGCAGATGGGCACCTCTTGGTAGGCCCAGATGAGAACTGTTAAGACTGTTTTGGTGTTGAATGCTGTGGTCCTTGTCACCCGCTGCCCCGCATCCTGAGTACTCAGTGGTGACCTGAGTTTTTGTTCCTTCTTGCTTGCTCTACTCTCGACTCAGTGACTTCTCTGGACTCTCTGGGCTTGGCAGCTGCCCTCCAGGTCCAGGTCCTGACCTCATCTGCCCCTTTGGTGTACGTGTGTACAAATCTCTCTTTCCCTTCAGTCTGGCAAACAGGGTTGGAATGTTTTCAAAAGGAATTTTACTAGGAAACTAAAAAAAAGAAAAGAAAAAAATACAGAGAAATGGATGTATATGTGGAGTACTGATTCTTCCTCCTGAGATCACAAAAATCCAGCCCAGACTGGCCTGATTAATGTGGCTCAGGAAGCCCCCAGTCCCCATGGTCCCGCCTTAGCCTCTCAACTCCCAGTGACCTCCAAGGAGAGCTGCTGGGTTTGAGGGAGTAGTACCCCCTTTCAGGCCCTGCTTCCTGTGGCCCTGTCATGCTTCTCAGCATCGCCTCCACCAACTTGTAGATTCTGCCCCCAGACTTTCCCACCAAGGGAGGAAGACACAGCTCTCCTGCCCTCCAGCACCTTCTGTGGCTCAGGCCCTGGATGGCCCGCCTCAGGGTTCATCTCTCTGTTCTGTTTTTTCTTTGAAGGGTGTTCCCAAGCCAACTATGACAGGTGGTTCTACCTTTTGTAGAATTCAGCCACTTTGCCTATTTTTTTTTTTTTTTTTTTTTTTTGAGACGGGGTTTCGCTCTTTTTACCCAGGCTGGAGTGCAATGGTGCAATCTCGGCTCACTGCAACCTCCACCTCCTGGGTTCAGGCAATTCTCCTGCCTCAGCCTCCTGAGTAGCTGGGATTACAGGCACGTGCCACCATGTCCAGCTAATTTTTTGTATTTTTAGTAGAGACGGGGTTTCACCATGTTGACCAGGATGGTCTCGATCTCTTGACTTAGTGATCCACCAGCTCGGCCTCCCAAAGTGCTGGGATTACAGGCCCATTTTAAGAAACCATCTGGGACTGCTGAAAGCAGTTGTCTCCTCAGGATAGGTGAACCCGAGGGGCTACTTTGATCAGGTCTGCCTGCCCTTCTTGCTTTTGGTTGCTGGCTTTTTGTTTTTCCCCTTTTCTATGAAGGACAAGGCTTCGGTAGCTGAAGGCCTTGCTGCTGGATGTGGAAACAACCTTCACTGGCTACTTGATAGATACCATTCATAGGTCTCCATGGGAACGGCCACTTCAGTCATTTCACAGGAACTTGGGCCAGCTCTTGTCCAGCTTAAACTGGTGGAGACCACCAACCTTGCAGCTAGGCCTCTGCAAGTGCTCCAGGGGTGGCCTTTAGACATCAGAGGGCCCAAAACTCCACCTTCAGATTATAACAACCGTTTTCTACACATATGTCCTCATGAAATGTCATGAACCCCAACTACGCTTGCACAGAATGAACCTATTACTTCATTTTCCCCACTGCCAATCACCCTTCCCCACGCCTTAGACAATCCCACTTCCCTCAGCCATAAATATCCCTAAGGCTTATCTTGGGGAGGCAGATTTGAGAGCTGTTCTGCCACCTCCTCACTCAGCAGCTTGCACATAAATGTTTTCTCTTTTGCAAAACTCTGTCACAGTGATTGATTTACTGTGTGCAGGCAGACGGGCCCTGAACCTGGTGGTAACATAAGTTTCCAGGACCAGCATACTCTGAAACTCCCCCACCCCTGCCTTTCTATATTCTGCTTAAAATTTGATAGATGATCACCATTCTCCCTTTAACTGCAGAACAGAAATGGGCGACACTCTCTGAGTGTCGGTGAGTGCCCGATTCCTGCCTAACTCCGGGAACTCTTGCCATCTTTCCAGGTGTCCCCCTGAAAATGGTGCTCCAGGGAATGATCTCACAGAACTCAAGTCTTTACCATTTTATGGTATCAAATTTCTTAAGCACATAGTGACAGCAGTACGAGGACAGTGCTTTCCTCCCACGGTTTCACACCTCCCTTCCTTCAGCATCCTTCCTGGGCACAGCCTTGAACCCTTGCTTGGCATGAGGTAGGACCTCAGTGCCTTAGTGGCGTTCATCCTTAATTTATTTCCATGGTGAGGTTGGGAGAGAGTTGAGCTCTTCTCTAAGAGGGGGCTCCAAGAAGCTCCTTCCTCCATGGCCCTCTCCCAGCAGCCACAGATGTCCTTCACGAAGGCCCCTCTGGCTCCTCCACTTCCTGTGATCCAAGTGGGTGGGGAGAGCAAGAGACAGGGCTGCTCCTCAGGCCAAAATGGCCTGGTCGTGGGAGTGGCACAGAGGAGAAAGCAGTGGCTGGGAATCAGTGGAGATAATGTTTTGCCCTCTGGGGCTCCAGGTCTGCTTTCCTCTAATTTCGTTTTCATTTGTTTTCACAATCTTGGAGGGAAAACCCTTTGGAGGCTGGGGAAGGTGGACCCCGACTGCAGAGAAGCACATGCCAAGACCCTCACACCACAGCCCAGGTTTTGTGGGCGGATGGGAGAGGTGGTTTTGATTCCCTTCTTGGCAGTCTCAGGGACACATTTCAGGAGGAATCTACAGGAGAAGCTGAAGGACAGTGGAGTTATCTCCCTGTTTCTTCTCTCCCTTCCCTGATGCCAGGCTTCCTCCTGGCTCTTCCTCCCAGGAGCCATCTGGTCAAGATGGCCATGTTAGCCAGGAAGATAGATACTCACCACCAGCCTTGGGCACAGGACAGTGGAGCTGACTTCTCTGGGAAGAGACCCGAGAGTCAGGGGGCCAGGGAGGCATCCCCCTTCCCAGTCTCTGGGTGTGGTTGACATCCATGTCTTCCAACCAATCTGGCCTCCACTCCCACAGGGGCAGGGAGAGGTTGGGGGTCAGGAAGATGTCATCTCTTGGGGAGGGAGGTGATGAGACATCTGTCAGGGGGGGTAGAGGTGTCTGTGGGAGGTTGCCTAGTTTAGGACAGAAAGCTTAGGACCAGCTCAGCGCATGTACTCAGCCCTAAACATAACCCAATTCAGCCCATCAGTCTCAGAGGCCGTATCTCCAGGGGCTGGATCCATTGGTTTCTTTAGGGAGAAGTGCTTGCACTGTTTCCTCCCAGGGCAGCTCTGGCCTTCTATCCGTACTCTCCCTTCATGCACCCATTCTCTGGGCATTCTTTTTCTGCCATCCTGAGCCCTTCTGTCCTGGATAATCCTTGCCCTCCCATTTGCCACAAGCCTGGTTGTTTTTCTTGGGGGCAAAGGGTAGAGTTAAGGTTAGTAATGGGGATGGGGGAATCTGACTGGGCATGTGGGGAAGGGACACCCAAGGAGCCAGGGCCCTGCACGACCTTCTGCTGACATGGAGATAAAGGTCCCACTCTGCTGGGAATGTCAGAGGTAAGCCCTGTGGCTCCTCAGCCCCAGCCATGGACAGAGCAAGAAGAAGGGATTGGAAGAGGCGGGAGCAACCTTTCCTGGAGACCCAAGTCAGGGTCTGATGATGGCTGTTAGAAAGGCAAGGTGCATGTGTGAGGAGTAAGATGGGGTGACCTCACATACCTGTGAAGACGCAGTCTGCTTCCCTGGGCTCTAGACCAAAACCAAAGCTATCCATGGCCACTGCCAGGGCCCGGGCAAAGTGGGCATCAGCGAGGAAGGAGCCATCAGAGGAGCTGACCAGGCTGGCTCTGGCACTGGCAGCATTGTCCTCAGAGGCTGAGCCCCAACCATTGGCTAAGGAACCCTCGCTGGGGGTGGGGGTAAGGCAGGGCCGAGGTGGGCACAGCAAGACTCCCCCCTCGGGCCCCACCCCTCCTCCAGTCCTGCCCATGTCCGCAAGCTCTGAGGCTGTTGGGACGCTGATGTATCCATAGGTGGTGGGGGGTGAAGGAGCCCTTGGCATGGGAGAGACGCTGTTCCTAGGGAGAGGCAAAAGAGGAGACAGCAACTGTTAGAGTGGGGTGGGAGTCGTAGTAGCAGAAACACCTGGATCGAGGAAGAGCGGAATGAGTGGAGAGGTGCATGTTCCCGTAGTTTCTCTGTAGTTCTTTGGTTATCTCTCAAGCTACTCACCTGGGAGTCTCCTCACCCTCACTGAGTTCCAAGCACAGAGCCACCTCCTCAGGGGTCAGCACGCTGTCTTGATCTTCCCCCAGGGATGACAGTGAAGAGCTGGACAGGCGACTGGAAGCTGGGCTGGGACCAGAGAGTGAAGAGTCCCGGAGGCTAGGGGGACTGCAGGGCCTAAGGATGGGGGTGGGGGCTGCTTGCAGCAGGACGGAGGAGAGAGCCTGTGGTGCCACTGGAGGCCTGATTGGAGTGACAGAGTGATGGCAGGGTGGTTGGTACAGCTCTTCACGTATTTGCTCCCCCTTCCCCAGCCCGTCCAATCCCACACACACTCCCCACACCCCTGCTCTCCCAGCCCTGCTTCCCAACTCCATGCCCTCTTACTGGATCTGTTGACTCTGCGTGGGGGAAGGTTTGTGAGGAAAGAGGGGTGCTGGAGGGAGAGGATGAGTAACCAGCTCATTTGAGGAGCTGAGGAGTTTCGGTCCCAAGGCTCGCCAGGCAACCAGAGCTTGGGGCACAGCTCCTGGAGAACAGAAGCCCGGGCATGAGAACAGTGGCACCCTCATCTGCTCTGGAACCCAGCTTGCCGGCCTGCCCACCAGCCCCCTTAGTTACCTGTCCCCTACCCCATCCACCCTCATCCTCCTTCTCAGGGTAAGGAGGATGAGCCCGTGGGAGGGGCCTGGGCTGGTAAATCCATGTACCCCTACACTCTCACTTCCTCACCCCTTCACTTCCTTTTAAGGACCCCCCTCTCACCTGGGTTTTGGGAAGGGTTCTTGGAGCCTCTACTTCCCAAGTCGCAGGCCCGGAGCTCCAAGGGGTGGCTGGCCCGGAGCAGTGGAGAACTGTTGACATGCTGCAGCTCTGCAAAAAAAGGGTTGGTGCTTGCAGGACCCAGGGTAGACCTTTCAGACCCCAACGGCCGTCTCCATCTTCAGCCTTATTCAGCTGAGCCTCCAGGACCCCGAACCCAGAGAAGAGAGGGAAACACTGCCTTGAATCCCCTCCACACCCCCATCTTCATCCAGCAGCTGTGATAGGATAGAAGGAGCACTAGGCTTGGAGTCAAAAGACCTGCACAGCTCAGCTGTGTGACCTCAGGGAAGTCCATGCACCTTTCTGAGTCTCAGTTTCATGTATAAACAATCACTTCGAATGATGGTCTTGACAATTCAGTGAAAACAGATTGCAAAAATTCTTGGCCCTTGATAGATGCTTTAAAAAACAACTTCCTTTTCCTTGACTGTATTCATTCCAGCCTTCCTGATCTCTATACTTTCACATTGCTACTCTCATGAATTTTGGCTCAGTAAGAAAAATACTCCTTTTCTTGCAGAGAATCTATTAATTTCCATTTTTCACATTGCAAATATCTCACATGGTTCTGGACAGCCCTTCCCTGGGAAACTTGACTGTCTCTCATTTGAAAGATGGGGGTGGACCGTCAGGTTGAGCTGAGTGAGTAAGATTAAAACAGAGATCGGGCCGGGCACAGTGGCTCAAGCCTGTAATCCCAGCACTTTTGGAAGGCCGAGGCGGGTGGATCACGAAGTCAAGAGATCGAGACCATCCTGGTCATCATGGTGAAACCCTGTCTCTACTAAAAATACAAAAAACTAGCTGGGCATGGTGGCACGTGCCTGTAATCCCAGCTACTCAGGAGGCTGAGGCAGGAGAATTGCCTGAACCCAGGAGGCGGAGGTTGCAGTGAGCCGAGATCGCGCCATTGTACTCCAGCCTGGGTAACAAGAGCTAAACTCTGTCTCAAAAACAAAAAACAAAACAAAACAAAACAAAAAAACAGAGATCGACACACTCTGTTGGCTGTGACAGGAGACAGTCAGCTGCTGGGAAGACGAACTTCAGAGTGGGAAAAGGTATTGGTCTATCCCAGGGAGGCAATGTCCTGACCATAGCTATTCTATACTTTGTTGAGCGAATGAGCGAATGCATGGGTGATGTCAGAGATGTGGATGTAAACACAAGGTGAGAAGAACCATCTACAAGACAGCCATCTACACTGGCCCACATGGGCAATGGAGAGACAGGGCTCTGGGTGAACTTGTCAATGGAGAAGCTGAGGAAACTAAAGAGACAGCCCCAGCCGTGTACAGTGACCTGTGAGCATGCTTCTTGGTCAGGCCAGAACCCAAAAGGTATCTGAGTTTAAGCCAGAGAAGAATAGGGTAATAGAGGAAAAATATTTTTCCAGGGCCAGGAACCAGAAGCACATCAGACAAAGGAGAAAAGAAACAGCCTTCAGATTAGTGTCCCGTGACCAGAAGCCCAGCTAGGAAAAGGTTTCCCTTCTTGGTGGACCAGGGACCAGGCAGGACCCTCAGGGTAGATCTATCTAGTCAGTCTCATATCAGAGATCTGGGGGCCACTACTGGCAGCTTCAGAGCAGGGAAGTGAGCCAGGTCTTGGCATTGATCAAGATGCCATTTATGTACTAGTGGTCAGAACTTCTGATCCTTTGGGATGAAAACTCAGCAATGACTAGACTTCCTCCATCAAAGTTTCCTTTGGTACTTTGGCGGTTTGGTTTTTTATTGATTTCCTATAGCTTTCACATGACCCAGGTAGTCCTGGGAGCCAACCTCAGCGTTGGTGCTCCACCCCTGCTATCATCAGCTTTGTCATGTCTAGTGCCTGGCTTCTTGACTAAGCTCAGAAATGCGAGCACAAGGTGGTTGGCTGGTTTGAGTGGAAGAGGAAGGAAAAAAGCCAGGCCTGGAAAAGGTCGCTTTTATCCCAGCCTGTTTCACCTCCTCTAAGGGACCCTGGTAACAAAAGCCCTCCTCCTACATTGCTTGGAGCTACTTGAACTTTAGTTTCAATTCTATTTGAATAAACTATACAAGAAAAATGTTATCAAAGTGAAAGGTTGAAACTCACTGATAAAATTGCAATAAATATTTGTTTGAATAAAATAATGAATGAATGAGGATATTCAGTGCATGTGTCTGGCAAAGCGAGCGGAACTAAGAACCTGATACGATGGATGAGAAGAGGAGACTGCAATTGTGAGATATCAGCACTGGAGAAGAAATCCTAACTTAAGGCAAATAATAAGAAAAAGGAACGAGCAGGTCAAGGGGAGTGGTGGGAACTGGGAGAGCCTGCCAGTTTTAGAAGAGGAAGAAACAGCAATAGAATCAACTCCATGCCTCTGAAGAAGATCACAGCATGATCTTGCTGCTGCTGAGGTCCTGGGAGGTACAGGTGGAATATCTAGTGTCCACCAGCCAAGGAGTCGCTGGAGTTGACCTACCCTGGGGCAGTGGTGAGATGCGACTGGAGTGAAGGAAGGATCTAAACCACAGGCTAGGAAGCTTCCTCTCAGAATTGGCACCCTTCTTAAGAACTGGCTGTAGAATACCACTCCTCTTTACAGTAGTATCACTGTTCTAAGAGGGGCTATCCATTCCATTAGATTCAGTGTAGTTGTCCATGGGGAGGTTGTTTTTCAAATGACACTATGCAACCTCTTTTAAGCAGGTGTTTCATTACCACTGAGGATTTATAATGCAGAGCTGGTAAGGATGCCAGCTTTGCTGATACTTAGAGTCATAAAATTCTGGATATTGAACAAGCTCTTAATTATCTTAATCCATCTTTGTCTTAATAAAAGTTGGATTATATCCATTTTAAGAAAAGACTTGGCTGTAGAACATTTGTTAGGTCTTACTAATCAGTACAGAAGACTCATGAAGACAGCAGGTAGAGTGCAGGCCAATGTTCTGTAGCCCAGAAACAGGAAAAATACTCAAAGAGAGAATAGGATTTCCTGAGGGAGCTCCAAAGGGACTCAGAATCACCTTCAGAGGCAGACTATCCTGCCTTCAGATTTGAGCTCTGAAGCTAAATACTTGCGGAATTTTGAACCAGCAACTCAGTCATTCCGACCCTCTTTCTGTCTGTAAAATTAGAGAAATAATAGCTAGCTAACTTTTTGTGAGGATTAAATGAAATAACAAATATAAGTAAAGCACCTAGCACATAGTAATTGATCAAGAAATGGAGGCTATAATTATTTTTCCCTGGAAAGTCAAAGAAGGCAGCTGGGAGTCAGGAGAGAAACCTGACCAGAAAGGAAATACTCCTTCCTCTCTGAGAAGTGAGTTGGGAATCGATGCCCAGGCACACCTGTACATAATAGACCAGGAGATGAGCTCGTAGGAGCCTGAGGCTTCATGCCAGCACTGGTCACATTCCTCCAGGCTCTAGCATGACTTGTATGACAGTCAGCACTTTTGTTAGGCCCTGAGCCCTTAGAAGGCAAGGGCTGCATCTGGTGTCTCGTGTGTCCCTTGTGTCTGGCATGCAGTGGTGCTTATTAAACGTTTGCTGAGTTGAATTGACTGCAGAAACAGGGCTCACTGCTGGTGTACCCAAACTGAAACAAGAGCACAGTGCAAGGAGAAGCTGAGGAGATCGCACTCCTGGCTGAGTGCTCTGGTAGTAGGTGAAAGAGGCCTTGTGTCCACCGGGAGAGGAGAATGGAAGGAGGGTGTGGGGGTTGCACCCCACTCCAGGCTTTGAGGCCTCATTCCCATCACGTTCCCACTCCTGAGCCTGCGTACCATCAGCTCAGGCTATGTCTGTCCTCCCCATCCTTACCCTGCTTCTTTTTGGCCTTCCAAGCCTCTGCAGGGGCAAGAGACAAGCGTGGAGAAGAGAGTCCCCTACGGCTGCATAGGCTGTCTGAGCTGGAACAGGGGCTGGAGAGCCGGGCCAGCTGGGGCGGAAGGCACCTGACAGCTGGGACGCGGGGGCTTGGCCTGGCTGGGGGAGTGGAGGGCAGCTCAGCGATGAGGGAGCCATAAAAAGTGCTGGTGTCTGGAAGCAGGGGCACACCAGGGCTTCGCGAGTCCCAAGAGAGCACTGTGATAAAAATGACAGGAGGAATTATGGTCAGCACGTTCCGCTTTCCATCTCTGCCATCCCTGCTCCCAGCTAGGCCCTTGCCCCCACTGGGCATGCTCACAGGAGCGACGACAGTCTAGTGGGTCCCGGGGGTCCGCCCCCAGCCGACTGCTAAGGCTGCTGCTGCTGCTGAGGTCCCGAGAGCCAGAGGTGGAACGCCAAGTGTCTGCCAACCACTGGGAGTCACTGTGATCCATCCTGGGGCAGTGGAGGCAGGGATGAGGCCAGGAGAAACAGAGAGAAGTGAGAACCTAATTGACCAAGACCTCCTGTTCAGAGGACAGCAGAAGAGGGCGAGGAGATAGTGGTATCGGCTTCATCCTTACTACTGCCTTACAGCCCTTCACAGACTCCTTAAGATCTATGACCTGGTTTCCCAAACTCAGCACCCCTTTCTATTCCTGGATGAGGGGAAATGCGAGTCACCCAGAGCTGGGAGGTAGTAATGAGAGAAGATATGTATGCTGAGATGAAAAGAAGACCTGACGACAAATCTGGTTTGACAATCCTTATCTGTCACAGCTTAGTTTGGGCAAGTACATCTACTGGCTTCTCTGAGCCCCCGTTTTCTCATCTGTAGGATAGTAACAATAGGGCCTTCCGCACTCAAGGCTGATGCTCTGAGTCTGAATGAAAACGTGTGAGATCACTCAGCTGGCAGAGCAGGAGCTTGCTCCGTGGATGTTGGCCCCTGGCTGCCTGAGTGATCCCTCAGGAACGGGGATCTAAGCGAGGAACTTCTCCGCATAGGACCCCCAATGGCCCCTCATTTGCTGTGATAGAGCCCAGGTGCCTAGCATGGCTAACAGAACCCTCCTTGATCTGCATTCTAGCTCCCTCACTATATCCTTTGCTCTGACCCATCTCACACCCTGTACCCGAGCCAGAACAAATGGTTTGTCTTTCCCTGTGGACACAGCAGGCTATTACTTGCTGCTTCATTGCTCTTCCCTCCACCCCCTTCTTACTGTCAGGGTTAGGTGGAATCCTCTTTATCCTGTGTTTTTCCACGTTGACCCCCTCCATGTGTCTTGTACCTGCTTCTGCATGGCCAATATGGGATTGCATGAATATGCTCTCATGCCTGTCTCTGTCTACACTGAGAGACCCAGGATGGTGGAGGCTATTCCAAAGGAATGAATTAACCTAAGGTCAGAATGGTATCTCTCCAAGGACAGAGTAGGAGGTGTCAGGGAAGCCAGAGAAAACTTAGGGCAGAGCAGACAAAGCCAGGCAGTTGCTGGAACAAAGAAGTCAGTTTGTGCAGGAAAGCTCAGAACACGCAGCCGGCTTGGACCCCCCGCTCTGGGCTGAGAACCTCACAGTGAAATGACAGCCTGGATGTGCTGGCACACAGTAGGTGCTCAATAACTCCTGTTGTTAGATGCAGACCTGGAGTGGAAGCCTCCTGGAGGAGATCTAACTAGATAAAGAGCCAAGAAGACAGGCAGAGAGATGAAATGGTTACTTAGCACAAAACTCAAGACAACGGGAGAAAGAAGGATGTGTTCCTTATCAGCATGATGTCCCCAAACTGCAGACTCGTTCTGGCAGCCAAGTATACTAGAAGCAGAAGGGTCTACGGGCAGATTCTGTTTTTGACAACAATGAGGAAGCATCTATGCAGTAGGCACTGAACACCCTCTGCTGGAGCTGCGGGTGGATTACGAGGCAGGCACACTGGCTCAGTGAGAGAGTTACTGAGTGCGGAGGCGCTACTTGGTAGACCATGGTGCACAGAGAAGATGAGGCATTTGAGCTGGTCGTCTCATGCTGGTTTTTCTCCACCTAGCAGAGTGAGGCAACAGGAGAGGTGGGTGACAAGAGTCCTGGATTGGGGCTTCAGGAGTTAAGCAGCCTTGAGCAAAGTCACTGAAGTTTTATGAGTTTCAGTTTACTAGTCTGTCAAGTGGTGTGATAGGAAATATTAATGACGAGAAATGAACTCCCACTTAGAGTCACAGGAGAGATTCAAGTATGAGGGTCCCAAACTGCCGGGCAGGTAGACTAATACTCCATTCAGTTCTCTGTTGCAGCTCCACTGTCCCTTGCCCCCATCCCTTACTTCAGGTCCCTCCCCCTTCACCTCTCACCTGTGTTTTAGGATGGCGTCCTCGCTGGTATATCTGTACAGACCTGGGAGAAGGCAAGAGGAAGGCTAAATCCAGAGGCTCCACCACCTGGCCAGAGATCCAAAGCACCATTCTGGCTGGATGTCGAAGAGTCCAGTACACATATGGGTCCCCCTAGGACTCTCACCTGGTCCCAGGTGCACCCCAGCTCGGCGCCGGCGGTGGATACACACTGCAGTGACCAGAAGCAGCAGCCAGAGCGCAACGCCACAGCTGGCGATGACCTCTGGCCGCTTCAAGGTGGCCCTCAGTTGCTCCAGGGTCCAGGGATGATGCTCACTGGGTTCTCGGGTGGCTCGCTCCATGGTCTGCTCTGTATGGGATGCAAAGCTCAGCTGGAGGGGCAGGTGAGGTAAGGAGGGCCTGGCAGGCAAGGGGGAGGAGCTGGAAGTGTGAGGCAGGAGCGAGGAGAGAGGAAGGCAGAATGCGATGCAGGCTGAAGGGTGGCGTGAGGCCTCTGAGTACTGCCCTCACCTAAAAGGAGGCAGACAGGGCTACTGGGCTCCCCAGCCCCAGCCCCAGTGACTGCAGCCACTTGCACGCAGTAGGAGCCTGGCATGTGGGTGGCGATTTCCAGCTGGGTCTTCTCAGCAACTACAGTCCAGTTGGCTGGGGGCAGTGATGTGTTGCCCAGGCTCCAGACCTGAGGCACAAACAGAGATGAGCAGCTGTCCCAGGCACAATCCCAGAAGCAGAGCCCTTTATCTGCAGATCAGACTCCTGGGATGTGGTCATTCTGCCCTGCCATCCGCCTGGAGAACCCCTCCCCCAGCATGCACCCGATTTTCTATTTCCCTTCTATTCTTCCTACAAAGTGAGAGACACTTCTCTCTATATCAACAGAAGAGCAAAAGCAATCTGCTGAAATACATGTAACGCCAGCAGTTCTCAGATAACAGTGTGCTTCCAAGTCACCTGGAGGGTCTGCTAAAGTACAGCTTGCCAGGCCCTTCTCTGAGTTTCTGATTCATTAGGCCTGGGAAAGGATCTGAGGATTTGCATCCCTAACAAGTTCCTGGGTGAGGCTGATGTTGCAGCTCCAGAAGCCAAAGATTGAGCACCACTCCCTTACTCACAGCCTGGTTTGATCTACTCTGTTTCTTATTCCAGTGGCCTTAGCCTCACTTTCCATATCTGTAAATTGGGGATAATACCCCGGGATGGACTGTGAGGTGAAATGGATCATGGAGGAAAAGCGCTTGGCAGGGTCTGGCAGAGAGTGGGTCCTTGCTCAGCAAAAGCAGGTTTCCTTTGCTTCTCTGCAAAGGTACCTTTCTCAGTGCCCAGAGAAGGGTATGCAGAACTCTAGAGCAAAGAGGTGTCTTAGCAGCACTAAGAAGGGCTAGTCAGCTTGGGGATACCTGGTAGCCACGGATGATGCCGTTGTGGTTTTCAGCAGGCGGTGGGACCCAGCTCACAAGGACACTGCCATTGCCAGGTTTTAGGGTCACCTCCTGGGGTGGGGCACTGGGCACTGCAGGGGTGGGAGAGAGGCTATAAGGGGCTCTGAAGGAAAGGACTCTAGGGAAAGGAGCTGGGATGGGGGACACAGAGTCAGAGCCCCAACGAGGAGACAAGAAGCCTCTCAAAGCTCTGCTGGCCCGGCCAGGGCAGAAGGGAGTCCCGGAGCAGGACCTATCTTCTCCCTCCAAGACTGAAGTGGGACAGCCCAGGGGACCCCAAATAAAAAGGAGCCAGAGGGGACATTGTTGGGTTCTGCAGGGATCAGACCCCGACCTTTTTCCGGCAGCCTCAGGAGCAGCACGTTGCTGTCAGGGCCTCGAGCCCGGCCGGAGGATGGTCTCACTTTGAACTCATAGTCTTGGCCCCAGTGGAGGCCTCCAAGCTCTGCACTCTGCCAGCCAGCCAGCAGCTCCTCTGCCCACGGAGCTCCCTGGGCTCCTGGGGCAGTCTGGGTCCTGAACAAGGCCGTGTAGGATTGGGCAGGTGCAGCAGGGCCGCTAACCTGGGAAGGAGTTGTGAGGAAGAGCGAGGGTCAGGGAGCTCAGGACCAGCCCTCTCTTGAGCTCTGGCCTGGCTTCCACCCTTAGCACTTGGCCCTCACCTTCCAGCTGAGCCACACTGCCGGCCCAGGCTTGGAGCCCTTCGCGGGGTCTGGGGTCAGCAGCGTCACATTTTCCAGCTGAATTCGTACAGCCAGAAGCTCCACAGGCTCTGTGTAGTCCTGGGGCTCTGTGGGGAGGATAGGGCTGGGCTGGGGCCTACAGGCCAGAGTGACAGAACTGAGGCATGGAACATCCCCCAGCCAGGGAGGAATCTAAAATCCCAGAGTCCCCAGGTCTGGAGCATTCAGATTTCTACTCTAGCAGTGGGGAGCCTCCTGCTACATGAGACCCCCAGCACTTTGACCCTGGCCCCACATACTTTAACCCCAGCCCAAACCAGAGCACACCACCCTAGCTGAAGCCTGCAGCCCGGCCCTGACTTTAGCCGACCCCTGCCCTTACCCTGGATGAACACCCGGGCTGCACGGCTCTCCCTGTGTCCTGCGCTGTTGGTGGCCACACACATGTACGTCCCTGCGTCACTCTTCTCTACTCTTGCCATCAGTAGGGACCCCCCGGACACCTGTCAGGGCCAGGTTCACTGTGAAGTCTCCTATGTGGGGAGGGATTCTGAGCTGGGGGGAAGTATGAGACCTCCCTGCGCTCCCCCTCCTCAGGTTCTACTAGAGGATGGGGGACTGGAGGGCAGGTTAGTCCCTCAGGGTGTGCCCAGGTCTGCCTCGGCCAGGATGAAGTGTGGGGAAGGGGCCACACTTACGGTGTGCCTTCCAGGCTGGAGGGTCAGGGGTTTCCCATCTTTCCACCAAGAAACTGTGGGCTCTGGGTGGCCCCAGGGAGGCCCACATTCCAGAGTCATCTGCTCACCCACCACGGCCACCGTGTCCTGAGGCTGGATCTGGAAATCCTCCCGGAGGACTGTGGGGAGGACAGAAGGTGACAGGGAGTAGGGCCCGGGCCTCCTCTTCCTCCCTTATCACACTCTCCCCCTTCTGCTTTGCCCATTTCCCTGGTCTCCCATTTTGGGCCAGCCCCACCCCAGCGTCCCCTCCCAAGCCTTCCAGCCCAGACCTCTGCTCACAGGTATCCCACTGATCTTCTCTCAGGTGCTCCCTCTAACATTCAACTCAGATGTCTCCACCCAGGTCTGCCCCACCTTGAAGCTCCCCTTCCCAGGCCTCACCAGCCACAGACAGCCGAGCGCCTCTGCTGACTGCCGTGCCCAGCCGGTTGCTGGCCTCACATGTGTAGACACCCAGGTCTGTGGACAGGGCCTGGCCACCATGGGCGTGTCCCTGGGCAGGGGGCTGCAGCAGCAGAAGGGTCCCATCAGGCAGAAGGTGGTGTGGGTCTGGGGGCACCATGCTCAGGGGCTGACCATTCAGCAGCCAGCGGATGGTGGGAGGTGGCTGGCCAGAGGCTCGGCAGCTCATCCTGGCAGGGCCAGGGCCCTGGAGCAGCTGGTCCTGGGGGTGGATTAGGATCTGGGGCGGGGAGTCCTGAGCCATGCCTCCTAGAGGATAAGGGAGGAGAGCCCGGTCTGATCACCAGCAGCATCCCAAATTCCTGGCCCACCCTTCATCTGTCTTCTCCTGTGTGTGAGTTTGCCAGATGACCTGTATTCTGAACTACTGAAGGTCACCTCCCAAAGAACAAGCTAGCTGGGAGGAGGAGAGCACACACACAAACACACATACACTTACACACACTAATCATCATCATCGTCATCATTCTTATCTCTGGTTCCCCCACTGCAAAAGGGAAGCAAGCCGTCAGCAGGCCTCTTCTGAGCTGAGCAGGCCTTGGATCCTGGGGACATAGACCAGGAGAGGGAGGGCTGTACTCACCCATGGTAAGCAGAAGCAGCAGAGGCAGGGAACCCTTGTTCCCCAGGAGGCTCCCTCCTCTAGAGCCCATGGCTACTCTCAGCCCTCTGTCCTTGTCCGGAGCACTTTGTCCTGCTGCTCTGAGCTCATGGTGAAGAGGGAAGGAGGGGCGGGGTGGGCTGGTGGTGGTTGTTTGTGACCGAGACTCTGCCCCAGGAGGGAAGCGGCTTTGAGGAAACCGATGCTTCCTGCCTGGCCCTCAGTGCCTTGGAGAACTGGGAGGAGACCAGAGGCGAGAAACTCTCTGACCCCGACCCTTTAGCCATGGCCCCTGACACTAACTTCAGCCCTAAGCTTTATCTCATGATCTGGTCTGGGATTTCTTACAGGGTATCCTTACACTAAGCATAATTCCAATCAGAGCCTTAATCCTCTATTCAAATTGTATCTGTGGATCCCAATCCTTATCCCTTTGCCACCTGCTACAGAGGAATGAAAACCCAGGAGTCTCAGGACACAAGAGGCTGAGGACAGAGGGCAGTGGGGCTGCAGGCCGGAGAGGCTGAGTGAAGCGGACCAGGGGTGGATTGCAATGCCCTGGTCCATTTCCTCTGGGGCAGATGGGCTGGGGGTGAAGTAGGGTGGGAGACAGGAAGGACTCAGAGACTCTGAGACAAATTGGGAGATTCCCGCAAGATGTGCCCATATTCAGTTCAGAGATGGATTAAAGAAGTGTCTGTGGAGACCTTGGGCAAGTCTGTTTCCTTCTCTATAAGATGGAAATGATAATAGTAGTTCCTGCCTTGAGGGATAAAGTGATGACGAAACACATAAAGCATAAAACCAGGGGCATCTAGTGCCTGATGCAGTATGAACGATCCATAAAGCTGAGCCAATATTGTGTCTTTATTTTTAGGTCTATCCCATCACTGAAACTATTGGAGTGTCCTCAGCAGGAGTATTTTTCAGGCCCTGGAAAGTTGGTTGGAGTAAAAGACCTTTTAAGAGTCTTTCCAGTCCCGAGACCCTGTGTCTGTGTCTGTAGCAGACAGGCCTTGCAGCTTTTGAGCCTAGAATACCACCTCTCACTCGCTGCCTCCTTCCCGCCCCTCCCCCCCCGCCCGCCCACAACCTAGACAGAGGCCATACTCCCCTCCTAGAGCTCAGCTCGTGTTTACAGGTCTCTTCCCTCCAAATGTGGAATCTCAGCCATTTCCTGGAGCTGTTCCCGGAAGGCTAAGGCCAGGCTCTGAAGCTCAGCGGAAGAGTATCCAGCCTTTGTTCTCAATTGTTACTGGCCGGCTTCTCTGCAGGGCCACTAACCCAGCTGACACCCCTCCCTTCCTCCCCTTCCCAGCCTGGCTTCAGTGCCAGCCACAGCCTAACAGCCTGTCAAGTAGAAAGCCGCTTCACTCCTCCTCTTTCCTCTCACACCCAGACCAAGACTGACAAAGACAGAATCAGAGCAAGGAAACACCATGGTCTCTACACTAAAGAATAGGCAGAGTGAGAGTTACAGAGTGGCAGAGCTGGAAGGACAGGCAATGGGACCGGAGAACAGAATGGCACCACCCTTAGCACCTCTACTTCTGAAATCCCCAATTCTGTTCTCTGGCCCTGATACCTATCCCAAATTCTGTGGTGTACGTGGCGGAGGCAGAATGGAGTTGAGTTTATGGGGTCAAGGATCTGTGGGGACAGAGTGATGAAGGGGAGATTCATATGGACACTGAAGTCACAGGAAAGGATGTGGTGGGATGGGAGGATTTACTGCACAGGAGGCCAATTTGGGATTTCACAGGCATAGAGCCTTCAAGAGTGTCTGACTCCCTGACTGCTGGCTCCCCAAGAATGTCATTGTTAGCAGTCTGACTTTAGTCTCCTCTGCTTCTACATTGGACTTGGGGAGACTAAGTGCTTGCTAATGTTTTCATGCTAACTTGATTTTACTCCAATATCCACAATCCAGAAAGATGGTAGGTTTCCCTCAGGGGAAAATGAGGCAAGTCTCAAAGGAATTCCAATCCATCACTAGCTCTCTCCTCAGCAGGGTGAGAATGGAGAGGTGAGACGGCCTGTGTGCACCGCAGGGAGAGAGCCTCAGGGGCTCCCGTAGCCTGAGGAATGGCCCCTGCCCCACGGTCACATGCCCTGTGCTTGGAGATCACCTTCAGTACAGCCTTGCCCTACTCCCAGGTTCTGGAGAGCCAAGTGCTAACACCTGAAGGCGGCTGGAGGGGCTGATTCCTCAGCTATTCCTGCAGTACACTAGAACTCTTTCTTCAGGGCTCTCAGAGAGACTTGCAGCGGTGGCCGAGGGGACTTCCCAAGAGTAGGGTATGTCTGGATGGCTCCCAGAGACCGCAGCGCTCATTTCCAGCAATCTGGCACATCCGCATCCTCATTGTCTCATTTCCACAAACTAAGGAAGAGCCAACTGCGTGAGTCAAGGGTATGATATGGCTTGGTGGGAGCCGCCTCCAGTTGCTATTTCAGGGAAGCTCTGTTCTGTGGCCCGGGTGATGTGTAGTCCCAGTGACTAGTTTAAGCAGTGCCTTCCTTCATCCCAGTCCCAGTGTTTTGTGTTTTCTAACTCCCCTTTAGTTGTTTGTAAGAGGGAGAAGAGAGGGGAAACACCAGGTGCCCTTCTGCGCAAAGCTTCAGAGGAAATTTCTCTTCATCTCTGGCTCCTGGCTTCTTCTCCTGCTGGCCAAGCCAATGGAGAAAAACGGATGAATGCAGGTGGGATTTGGAGTCAGTTACCCTGAGGTTGAGATCCTGCTTCCACCTCTTATTGGCAGAGAGATCTTGAGTAAGTCATGTAGCCTCTCTGAGTCCCACTTCCCTCATCTGTAAAATGTCAGCATGAGGTTTACAGACAGTGGATATGGAAGTTCTTTGAAAATACTAGATGTGTGTTAGTTGTCCCTTGAGTGTTCTGAGATCAGCATGCCTGACCAGCACAGCCAGAGCCAGTCCCAACCACCCCTTGATACTCTTTTTGGATTTGAGAGTCACACTTATTGCCTTCTTGTTTTTTTTCCCCTTCTATGCTTGAGTCTGCTTGGTCTCAATCTATAAATTCTCATGTTTGTTCCAAGATGCCAACAGCTGGAGGGAAATTGGGTCAAGAGAGAAGATAATAATGACCTCCTCTTAGCTGGCTGGAAAAATTTGGCACAGCTTCTATTCCCTAGTTTTGGTTCCCATCAACATCATGGGTGATTTTAGGTGCCTGGAATCTAAAATCACATCTAGTACTCTTAACTCTACATTTTCTTAACTTTCTCAACACCAATGACTATGGGTCACACCTAGCTCAAACATTGCCCAGTTGGAGATTTCAAGGGCTGCTGACATCAATATTTAACCACTTGCTCACATGTCCGGGAAGAAGGGGAGATCAATTACTGTTCTTTGTGTTCACCCTGCCAATGTTCTCCAGTCAGAGACCACTAGGAACATACCTATTGTTGAACAAGTTGGTTTGCTTCTTGTAGCTTGAGAGAGTGCATGCCATGGAGAACTATGGAATGTCTCAGTAAGAGGGCTGTTGGAAAGAACCTCTTCTAGGATTTGGGCTTTGATTGTGTGATTTTGAGGAGGGTCCAGGCAAGTGAGGCATCACTCTAAATTGAGTGCTGTTGGAAAGCAAGGACACAAAATGATTCTTTGCAGAAGAATGTCTTTGATGATTTCCTTGCTACGTAGGCTATCAAGTGATTATGTTTATTCTTTTTCTATTATAAACAGTTCTGCTCTGAATCTTTATTTTATATGTCCCCTAGTATAACTATAAGTGTTTAAGAGTTTCTCTAGAAAATAAACCTAGGAGTAGAATATCTGAGTCTTGAGGCATGCAAATATTCCACTTCAGATGATATTAGCAGATTGTTTTCCAAGTCAATTCTACCAATGTCCTTGAGCCACATCCTCGGAGCAGTTGGTGGACTTCTTAATTTTTGCTAGTTTAGTCGAAGAAATGATATTTTATAGCTGTCTAATTGTCATTGCCTGGTTAAACAATAATGAAGCTGAGCATCTTTTCAAGGGTTTACTCACTGTTTAGGTTTTATCTTCTGGGAAATATCTACTTCTACCTTTTGTCCACTGTTCTATTGCTTATCTGTCTTTTTCTCAATAACTCTTAGAAGTTTTTATGTGTTCTGGGTAATAATTCTCTGTGGATTAAAGATGTTGCAAAAACAAGTTTGGTCTCATATTTTATTTCTTTATGAAATAACAGTTGCTAATTTTACTGTAGATACATTTATTAATATTTATTTTTATGTTTAGTGTATTCTTTCCATTTTTAAGGAAAACTTCATCTACACTAAAGTAAATATATTATTCCATATTTTCTTCTAAAATTTAAACATTTCACATTAAAAATTTTAAACCATCACTAATTGATTATTTTATATGGCTTGAGGTAGGGATCAATATTTTTCAGATGGTAACCTATTATCCCAGCCCTATTCACTGTTTAGTCCCAGTGACCTGATATGATTCCTTCATACATCAAATGATCATGTATACATAGCTTGTTTCATTAGTCTATTGTCTATTCCTGCATGAATACCACATTTTCTCTATTACCAGAGCTACATAATAAGCTTTGCTATTTGGTAGGGTGTTTCTCCTCCCTCCTTTCATTTTCAGAAGTATCTTGGCCACTCTTGGGTCTTCTGCTTGTTAAGTTCTTTGAAACTATTGTGAAATGTTTATTCGAATTGTTCGAATCTATAGAAAGAACTAACATTTAAGTCTTCAGAAACATGTATACCTCTTTTTAAATTAGGTCTTCTATAATGTATTTTAATAAAGTTTTATAATTTGCACTATACAGAGTTTACACATAGTTTGCTAAATGTATTCTTAGCTAACTTGTTAAGTATTGTGTTGCAGATTATCTGTAAAAATAGCTGCAATAGAAACTGGACCCCTTCCTGACACCTTACACTAAAATTAACTCCAGATGGATTAAAGACTTAAACATAAGACCTGGCACCATAAAAACCCTAGAAGGAAATCTAGGCAAAACTATCCAGGACATAGGAGTAGGCAAGGACTTCATGAACAAAACACCAAGAGCATTGGCAACAAAAGCCAAAATAGACAAATGGGACCTAATGAAACTCCACAGCTTCTGCACGGCAAAAGAAACAGTCACTAGAGTGGATCGGCAACCAACAGAATGGGAAAAAATTTTCACAGTCTACCCATCTGACAAAGGGCTGATATCCAGAATTTACAAACAACTCAAGCAGATTTACAGGAAAAAAACAAACAAGCCCATTCAAAAGTGGGCAAAGGATATGAACAGATACTTTACGAAAGAAGACATATATGAGGCCAACAATCATATGAAAAAATGCTCATCGTCACTGGTCATCAGAGAGATGCAAATCAAAACCACATTGAGATACCATCTCACGCCAGTTAGAATGGCGATCATTAAAAAATCTAGAGACAACAGATGCTGGAGAGGATGTGGAGAAAAAGGAACACTTTTACACTGTTGGTGGGAGTGTAAATTAGTCCAACCATTGTGGAAGACAGTGTGGCGATTCCTCAAGGCCTTAGAAATAGAAATTCCATTTGACCCAGCAATCCCATTACTGGGTATATATCCAAAAGACTATAAATCGTTCTACTATAAGGACACATGTACACGAATGTTCATTGCAGCACTGTTTACAATAGCAAAGACCTGGAATCAACCCAAATGCCCATTGATAATAGACTGGATTGGAAAAATGTGGCACATATAC